GTCTTGTGGGTTTATTCTTCTCCGATCCTATGAGTGTTTTGTCGTTCAGATCATTTGCGATTATAAATTGAATCCTGATTGGTTGGCATTAGTTTGCAACAGATTCACATCTGGCAGAAAACCAATTATTTCTCCTGTTCATCATGGCGATTAATTAAGACGCTGTGGCTGATTGATTAAACTCCCAACAAAGCTCTAACCATGAGCACTGGACCCCTGGGGATGATTTGCATCACACATTATGCACATTGCTGTGTCTTCATGTTATCTTCATATGCTGCATCTCTTCAGACGTAGACTGAACCATTACACATGCGTAGGCGACAAGAGGAGAAATTCACAGCCCGACGCGGCACAAGTGTTTAAGTAATTTGTGCCTAAATAAATCAGAATCAAAGTGCAGTGGCGAGTCGGAATCTTTGGATCTTAAAGGCACCGGGAGCACCCAGACATTAGACCTCATCAATCTGAGGCAGATCTCATCCACCCAGGCCCACTCAGTCAACCTGAGATTACATCAGAGCAGATCAATCTCGCTTGCTCGCATCATAATAACAGCAAATGCCATTTAGAGACTGAAAGAGAAAAGAAGGGCTCTTGAGGTTTTCCAAAGCGACTTCCTTTCAGGTGCTCTTTAAAGACACATCACTCTGCAGCAACTCGGGGGCCGAGAACATTTGGGGTCCCTCCTTTACAGAGCTGTCAGCTATGAACCATCACTTCACAAAGACGCCGCCGATTAAACAACAACAACGCCAGCCTTGGAATAAATTAATTCACCTCGTTTTCAACGAGAGCCCTTCTTATTATGCTCTGCACTTTTCCTTTGATCAGGTCCCTCCCTTTCACCAGCCACAACTCTACCACCTCCTTTTCTCTTCCGTTATCTGCTGGAATTCTCTGGTGGGTGTTTTAATTGATTGCTGTGGGGGTAGAAATCACCCATCCTGTCACCGGCGCATGGCTGGTCAGAGCGAGGGCTTCCTGGAAAGGTGTATGAGTTTGTTAAAGCCATCACTGAGCCGTGCGAAACTCCAGCTATTACGGTGTGTCAGAAGACGCCGGTGCGTGGCTGTAAAGTGCAGCATTTGTGAGTGCTGAGGGTTCTCCCCCGAGCGCCGGAGCTCCACCACTGAAAGAGCAGAGGTTGCTCTTGTTTATCGCCTCTTTTTGATGATGCCATCACTTCGGCTGGTGGTGGAGTGTGTGTGTGTGTGTGTGTGTCTGAGGGGGCATCTTATCGCTGATACCACAACCATTAAGCCATTTTAATTCACCTGTGTGCCGTCTTGGGAATTCTCCCTAAAGTCTGGTTTCTGCTGAGGATATCACCGTCCATCCAGTCTTACTGAGCCTCTGACGTCGTACTGTCTCGTACAGAGCCAATGCTGGAAATGCTGTGTGAAGCAGCTCTCTCTCTGTGTGTTAGTATTTGTAATTAAATGCAACATTACATATATTGTTCTCACCCTTGTCAGTTTGTTTGTCAAGATTATGCAAAATCCAATGGAGGGATTACCACAAAGTTTTGGTGGGACGATATGGGTCAGGGAAGAACCCTGTTGGGGATTCAGGAATTTTTTCATCACTTACTTCAACATTGTGAAATGACATTTCTGCTGATTTCCCACGGAATAATTAACGGATCTTGATTAAAACAATTCGTTTCAAGGACTGATATCTATGAGCGTGTGCAGTCTGGTGCAGCTTGATGAATTAAAGGTGACTGCAGGGCCTTGGTGGTTGTATGTGCTCTACTGAGTTCCATCCATTATACTGTATATACATCCATATATAGCTATTATTTTAGTCTTACTTGAAGTACTTCTGAAGATTAGTTGGAACATGCAGCCTCTTTGTCAGCAGAACTGACACACTTGGTCATTTCACTTAGATCAAAAGCATAAATGGATGTTACAAATAATTTGCGATAAACTTTTCAGCTCGCGCTAAATTGACTGCTGACTGGAGCAGAGTCTGGCGCTTCCGCTTCACCGGCTGATACAGTGTCAAAGTGAATCAGTCGTCAGCCTGACAGAGTCCTTGAGGCTGCGTCCTGTCTCGGCAAACGCAGCAAAGTTTTTGATGCCTTTAGCATTGACTCACTGATTACAGTCAGTGCAATTAAACTGACTGCTAGTTGCAACTTTTTTGCAACAAAGTTTTATTCAAATTTTGTTTCCTATACATGAAGTACCTTCTATTGTTTCATTTTCAAGTTGGTTTTGTGTGGAGCTATCGTCTCAGCAGTGAAAGTGGTTGGACGTCATCATTATTAAAGTTTTTGCTGTGAAACAAAGCCACTTCTCAGCGGAGTTCGTGTGTGGTTCCACTGCACGGCTGCACTTCTTCTTCTCATGCACTCCAATCACATTGTACAATACTGCTTGAGTGCTCCCATATACATCTGCTATTAAAATGCAGTCTGTATTATTGAAATGGCCTTTGCATTATACAGTACCTGGCATTTAGTGTATGTGTTTTCATCGTCATTTATGGCGGCACTGTAATTGGATGTAAATTCCTCATGCGTGCTATGCGAAGCGTTGGGGGGGGGGAGGCTGCATTATCAACAAGAACAACCATGACGGGTGTAGGATCATTAGACTTGATACTACAGAGCCTGGATTTACTTTTCATTGAAGTGGAAAAGGTCGTCTTTTATGAGTCTTTCCTGGAAGGCAACAAAAATGATGACGTGTGGTTTTTTCGCTGAAGTTTGCAGCTATTGTTAATGCTGTGGGAGAAGGAGTGAGAGCGGATGAGTGTGATACTGGAGACGGTGAGTGGATGGGAAACTTTGCCTGCAGTTTATACTTTTCTGCACTGTTTGCAGGTCGGGGGATTCACACTGCGTTGACTGCATTCGCACTCGGCTCAGGTTTGATCAGCTCTACAGGTGGTCTGTCGTAATATACTTACTTTATGACCGTATGTTTTTCATGCCTCTTGATACAAGGTGTAAATGAGGTGAGACTGCTGAGTGGTAAATAGTCTATTATTGTTCTTGTGCTCTGCCTTTGCACCACATTTGTGTTTTGTGTGTTTATGATCCTCTGGCGGTGTCACAGCGTAGATAGATACTCATCTAATGCAATGGAAATGGAAAACTGCTCATGGTAAATTCTGTGATTGTGACCTGAGGCAGATGTCACTCCCCTTTCACTCCCACCTTTTCTCCCTTAAGTGGAGGAATTGAAGTCGAAAGGTTAAAGATTCCAGAACACTGCTGATTGAACGAGCGGGGACATAATCGTGTTTGCTTTATCCGGTTTTCCCTGAGTTGTTTGTGAGTGACACATGCTGTACATGTCTCCCTCTGAGAGTTGGTGCAGGGAATATATTTCCTTCCTTTAAACATTAAATAAGGTCAACAGATCAATCAGTCACTGTGATGCAGAATGAAGCTTCAAACTCCAGCGGACGGGTCGGTCAAGGCTTTCTTTCTGCACCGGGCCCTTGACACTGATCAGGGTATGATGAACACATGATGAGTGGATGTAGCATTTGACAACGGGGCCATCGCCGCGCGGTGTAACTCATCACGACTGCGCCGGTTGAAGACAAAGGCACCAAATAGGCATCTCTAATCTCCCTGCTGAATGAATCCGAGACAAAGAGAGGAGGAACGCAGACATAGAGGCTTGGACACACATTGGATAAGCTGATTACCCGGGAAAGGAGGGAGGGCGAGGGAGACAGAGGCAGAAAGACAGAGGCCTGTACGTGAACAAGAGAAATCCATACAGTAAGGGAGCGTGAGGGCAGCGGGAGGAGGAGGAGGAGGGCTTTGGAAAGAAAGAAGCGAGCGCACACTAATGATGAGGTGCACAGAGCGGAGAGAGAAGAAACAGCTCAGGGTGTGAGGGAGGAAGATGAGAAAAAGGTGAACGTTTAAAAGAGCATGTGATGGGGAAATGAAGGGGACGCATATTTGCCTGTGATATCATCCTTAGGAGCGTGACACAATCAAAAACAGGACATTATGCAAATGTTCGTCGGCTGCGGCAATATAATCACTACCTGAGTCATTTCACCTGCGCTGCTCACAAGTCGCTATATATACAAACGGAATTACACCCAATCCAGGTGTACAGACTAAATATACAGCTAATTAAAATTAATGAGATTTACCCAGAAAAGAATATGCTTCTTTCCTAAGCTGCTTATCCCTGCATGAGAATCTACTACACACACACACACACCTCATTTTGATTCACTCTCCTTCACTTCGTTTTTCACACACTCTGCTAGACAGACTATTACGAATCCTCGGGACGCTTGCACACACACAAACACTCAGTCTATCTGTCTGTCTTTCAGCCGGCTTCCGTCTCACGGAGACTTAAACATGTTCAATGAACACACAAGCTCCTGACTGTGTGTTGGCACACACACAGACACACACACACACATTTGCATATATCCTTGGAGACACACACACACACACACACACACACACACACACACACACACACACACACACACGTGTAAACAGAGGCCAACACTGAAAAATTCAGTAACAATTTCAGAAAAACACACATACTGTATGTACATTTATGCATGAAGACATGGCCGAGAGCCCACGGGCTCACACATTCACACACAGACACACAAACATGTATTCAACTAGAGCTGCGGAGGCCTTCTAGTCTTTACTGAAAGAGAAATACCCCTGTGAGCCAAGCTGTTGACTGCGAGAGGAAGAACGGTGTGTGTGTGTGTGTGTCTCTGCTTAGCTGTTTGTGCGTATGCATGAGTCTGAGTGTGTGTTTAGCCGGTCGGCCGCTGCATTCGTACTTATATCCTCCACACACAGTTTAGTTTAGTCTTGCAAATGACACAGCTCGAATTAATCACACACTTTATGAACCGTGGAACTCTTGTGTCTCCACTGCAGAGGTAACTAAACCACTTGGCACCCAACAATTAACTTGTGTCTCACCCATCCTCGCAGGCATCCATACTAACGTGAAGAGTAGCTTACACACGCACTCAAGTGCCGTACGAACGCTCGCTCGCTCGCACGTGCACGCTCCCTCCTCCTCCTCCTCCTCCTCCTCCTCCTCTGTCTCTATCTTCCTTTCCTCTCCTTCTGCCGCCTCATTTCTCAGCCTGGTGAGTACTTGAATGTCATTATGACTTTTGCTATCAAAAGCAAACAGCGGGGCTGGATAGAGGAGTGCATGCCAGACCTCCTGTTCTCCATGCTGAGAGTGTCGCAGCATGTCGAGTGCTATTCTGATCCTCCTGCTTGTTTTTAATGCCCCTTTTCAACGACTGGCCTTTCTTCGATGACAGATCTATTGACGGAGCTCCTGATGTGAAGCTCAACTGGCCCACGTGGTCCAGTTTCTGAATGGAATACCCCCCCCCCCCTCACTTTTTATTTACAGTTGCCGGCGTGAAGATGACTTCGTGTCTGCCAGCAAATTCGATTCCATTTGCGTAATGTATCAACAGACGGCACGAGTGAATGATATAATTGAGTTAACGAGCTACACGCCCCTTATCTGCTGTTCATTCATATGGGCAGCCCGAGGCGTGACGACTATCAGCCTCTTACACAGGCTACTGTGTGTTTGATGAGTCCCTTGAAGGGAGAATTTGATAACGTAGTCGAACTTCCTCAAGGCAAACTGTTTTGATGTGTTAAGCAAAGAAGGAGTTTATCCTCAGCGTTCCTGTTTTTTTTTTTTTTTTTGTGTGTGTGTGTGTGAGTTCTCTTATTGTACGATTAATTTTTAAATGTTATTGTAATTAATTTCTTGCGGCTCAGTGTTCGGCTTCACGGAGTTATTTTCAGGTTGGTATCTTCCCAGGCAGGAGGGAGGGGAGGTGTCACGCTTGACTTTGTGGCAGCGCTCCGCGGCCGGGAGAGCATCTCTCTGTTGTCGTTTGAAGGGTTCGCTGACATTTTCTGGTTCCTCCCCCCCCAGGGGCTGAAAGAGTCAGAGTTGGCCCGGTTTCATCAACCTCCCGGTACAATGTTACAGAGGTTCTGTTTGAAGGTTGGAGAGAAAAGGACGGGTCATTGACGTCACGGGGTCCGTAGCCTGTGGCAACATGGCTGCATGTTGACATTTCTCTGGACCGGTGTGTGTCACACCTCGATGGAGCAAATGTGAAAAAAAAACCATGGCAACCTGGAATGACCTGCCCCCCCCCCCCCCCCGGTGCAGACTGGGAGAGGGGATTTTATTTTAAGGTCTCAAGTAATAAGTGGTGGACACGGACAGACAGCAGATGTAGAATTAAAGCCAGAGTTTGACGTTTATCAATCAATCCGGAAAAAATCATATCAAACTGAAAAACATTGGTTTCATTTGGTCGAAATAATAATTTCATCAGATATCTGGTTGCAACATGTTTTCAGTTAATATAAATAACAGAAGACATAGAAGACATTTTCCAATGATTACTTACAATTTTAATTTAGTTCATGTTTCTAGTCCAATTTGACTTAAGTCAAATGACAAGTCATCAAAGCAAATTTAAGATATAAGCATTTTGAGCGTATACAGTATTTAGTCTTTCAGTGTATATGTTTAATAAAGAGATAAGCCGGCCTCATTCTGGCTTTTATTAATCTCCGTCAAACAAAAAGGGTTAATGTTTTTAACTTTCGGCTTCTCGTGTGTGAGGATTTGCTGGTTTTATTTATCTGATGTTTATGCAAACTGAATATCTCTCAGTTTTTTTTGTGTGGTCGAACAAAACAAGCAATGCAACGATGTCACCGTGTGCAGTGGGAAATCATCTTTTGACGCTTCACGGACCAAAAGATTAATTAAGAGGCCTATTATCAGATGGATGCTGGAAATAAATCCTCTCTTGTTTTTCACTGTTTGCTGCGTCAGACTTGATGTTTGCAAACATGCACATCTCGAGTCAAGTGAAGTGTTTAAGGAGTCAAGTTTAAAGTAAGCCGCCCCCTAGTTTAACATTTCCTGTCTGAAGCTGTGGGAGAGACAACATGTCCCACATTTGAGCCCTGCAGCAACTGTGTGCTCTGTTAAAGTGTCCTTGGCTAAAAACATGTAACTCCCCTAGTATCTGCTCGGTCATTGTGTTTGGCTTCGGATTACAGCATCAGCTAAATGACCGGCGTGTTAAAATGCGCAGTAATTCCATTTCCAGATATCCAATCATTTTTTTTACAGGCAGTTTCAGATTAGCCCTGGCCAGCATGTCATAAATTGACTGGCACGTTTTCCCTCAACAATAGACGTCTGTCACAGTTTATGTCGGCACAATGGCCAGTGGTTGCAGTGGATGTGCTGCCGTGGTGAAGGAGTGACAGCAGAAGGGAGGAGGACGTCTATTGTTTTATTGTTATTTATCCAATTTAGTTCGTCCACACTAAACCACTGCGATCACATTTCCTCTCAGAGCTGAGTCACTTCACTTCCTCCAATCGACCGTTGCTCTGTTCAAAATGAAACCTGAAAGCTTCACCTGAATCAAGTCTGACATTTTCAATTTCAATCAGGAAATTCCACATGGAGGAACTATTTTTCTCTGCAGGACACTAACAGCAATTAAACCTTGTCCGTTCACTTGGTAACACACAGGAACGCCAACGACAGAAGAAATAGGCAATTAACTATTCCTTATTAAATATTCTCACTTGGGTTTATACTGTGTAGAAACACACGCTGAAACATGTGAACAGTCACACGCAATTATAAAAGCTGCGGCGGCTCTGGAGCACTGAAGAGAGTCAAGATGTACATTTATTCATCATTATTCTACTCTGCTTTAAACAACACACTCAAATAGAACCACTGAGAAACCAGATAAACAGTAATGATTCAGAGTGCCAGAAATGATAGACAGGGCGATAAAGTAAGCATTTATACAGCAGTTTCAAACAAAAGTCACAAACAACTTCACTGTCTGAGGGGAAAAAAAAAAAAAAAAGAAATCCACGAAAAACAAGAAATAGAACAGTGATGCAACACCTGCCATTTGTCGGATGATTTCTCCCGAAGCGCCGCGTACATTTTTGAGCACTGGTGGCCCGAGGGGGAATCCCCAACCATGACAGTGTTAGTGCAGAGATTTATCCACAGAGAGACGGAGCAATGATGCAGATTTTATGCAAGATTTGACTTATAAAGGCCACCAGAGGATGTCAGTCTTCTGGGAAACGGTCTTTCTTTGCTCACTTGAATGACAGTAATTTCACCTGTGTGTGTGTGTGTGTGTGTGTGTTTGTTGATTTACCGTGCTTTGTTTGGGATATCGTGAGATTGTCATACCTACAGCGTTTGATCAAAATTGATGTCACCAACAATTATTGATCGCTCCACTCCAACAACCTTGACTCAAAGGAGAAGATCTTTCAAACGTTGACACATGGAGTCACTGCGTTTCGGTCGATATCCAAGGTCACACCTTCCTCGTGTGTGAAAGGAACCTGGACCACGGTCTGGACCAATGCACCAGAAGAAGGTGGTGGTTGTAGTTTTTTTTTTTTTAGATTGTTCAGAGATTCGTTCGCAGAAGAAAAAGAAGCAGCTCTGGGATTGCTCGGAGTCTTCTAGCCTTCAGTCGTTAGAATGTTTGAATGACGAGGACGTTCATTTTGCTGGTTTTCATATCGTAGTTCTTTCTCTCCGTTCAAACGGATAAAGATAAATTTTATCTTTATGTCTCTTAATTCAAAAACTTTGTGACACACGACGTACTTACGTGTTACAGACGTCTTTAGTTAGCTCATTAAATTAAAACGTGAAACCAAAACTAAGCAGATAAAATTTTAATTGATCTGGATGAAAAGTCTTCAGGGCCAAACAGGAAGTTTTTAATTAATAATAATACCATGATCTCTAACGAATGAGACTCGCCATAGCCACAGACTGACTTCTCAACACTTCTGTAATTTACGACAGAGAAGTCGTAAATGACAGAAACCACACGTGTGAACCTCATGGTGGCGCTAGAAGAAAAGACAGGCGGTCACCAAAGTCCTCAGGAGTGATTCTCTCTGGAACGATAGTGTCCAAAGCTGTGCATGGGAAGTCAATCTGGAGGAATCACTCATCAATCTGGAGGAATAACTGAGAATCCCGTGATCATACAATTAGACACAAGTAAAACAAGTGACTGTAGAGACGTTACAAACATGATGTCAGCGTCTCCTCCTCTTAAACTTCTTCTACCGGCTGTGTTGCAGTCGGGGTGTCAATCAGAGGAGCCCCTGTGTCCGAGCCAATTGACCGTCGACAAATTACCATTTGGAGCGGAACCCGGCTATAAATGCGATTGGGCTGGATTTGAGTCTGCTCACCCGGCTTTGGATTTGAGCAGAATAGAGTCTGTCTCTTTTTTTTTTTGCCTCCGTGGTTTCAGAAAGCAAGATTAGATAGAGGTAGGGAGGGAAAGAGACTCACAAAGAGAGGGCGAGAAGCCGAGTCAGAGGAGACGGCGAGCAAATAAGAGATACAGAGCGAGAGAGAGTGTGCACAGGTCTTTAAAATCACAAAATTGTTAAAATAATTACAAATCTAAGGGCTTTAAAATGCTGCAAGTGTGTGGAAACGAGTGTGAGAGGTCCTTTTTTTTTTTCACCTCTCTGTTCAACACAACACCAGGATTAGCACTACAATAGGCTGTGTAATGTTTTATTCATCATTTTCGCTTAAGTAAACAAAATTGGACGTCGTGTTCCTTTACAAATAATTTCATGTTGTCATTTTTATTTCACTGCCCGTTCGTGATTGTAGAATTTTTATTAGCCGTGCTGAATGGCAAAGAAGTCGCTTTTGGCAGTTTTATAGCGTTCTATTTGTGGCATTGTGAGATTTGTAAAACCTCGCCACAATTTGACAATAAAGTAATTACCATAAACAAATGACACTATTAGTGGGACAGTTGTCAGCCTCTGAGGGCCTCTGTGCTGTTTTTTTTTTACACACTGTCCTATCAAGTCTGAATTTACTGCAAATCTACCAGATTGCTAACAACACAAAGGGAGTTTGCATTGGGGCATAAAAAACTAAACAAGTCTCATATCTTCTTTACCAGTGATGATAAATACGTCTACAACATTTCTTTCTATAAAGCAACAATACACAACATTTAAGTCACACACACACACACACACACACACA